ATTTATGGAGAAAAAAGGGCGCGATTCGCTGTCAACAAAGGCAGCAGGAGCCGTAACTGTGGTTCTTAATAAACCGATAAATTGAGTGAAAAATGGTAAATCGATTTCTTTTCTTGCGTTTATTGTTATTACGAAACTGTCAGCCCAAAAGCAGCAACTAAAAGAAATGATTGCAGGAGAAAAAATAACAGAGATAAAGTGGGAGACGATGGCACAACCTTTGCAAATGCAGGCAACTTCTTTAGCCAACAGCTACGTAAATCCTTTTTGATAAAGTGCTTTCAGTCTTTTGGCACTCAGTCTCTTGCCACTCTAACTCACAAAACAGCATTGGTTGACTGGCAACTTTTGCGCTATTTTGCCCAACTGTCGCATTATGACCATTTTCAGTGGCAACGCCTCGTTGGTTTAGCAGCTTCCGACTTTTCTTTGGTTGAGTTCGCTTTAGTGGGGGATTTGGCAATAAGACGCTATCAGATTTATGCAGCTCCTGCGAAGCGTAATTATTTGCTGACATTTTAATAGTTTTCAATTTAATGCTTCTTCTTTGTCTTGGAAGCTACGCTTCAATAAATACTTGATAAATGAAGTAATATAAACGGATTTCTTAAAAAATAAACAACATATTTTGATAATGTCACAGACATTTTAAAATTTGATACGTTTACAAATTCTTGTCAGCTTCATGAATATTTGAAGTGCGGCACTTAGGCATAATTGTTTTGCAAGAGTTTGCGTTCTTATTTTATTTTGTTCCATTTTTGTTTTTTATTTTAGGTGCCGCCTTTAGGCAGCTGACATCTGTCCACACACACACACACACCCACACACACACACACACACACACACATACACACAAACACACACACACATATGCGAAAACATTTTTAATGGCCGCAGTTTAACGACATTGCCCAAAACATCATAAATAATATAAATAATAGCTAGAGCCGAAATATAAAATTCGTTCTGCATGTTCGTTGCCTCTGCGCATTTGTTGCCGTTACCAACGCAGTGACAATTTGTCGTATGAGCAACTTTTTGATAGGCTCAGTGGTTGCTGCTTTGCTTTGCCTGTCGATAAACTTCTATACTGCATACTCTCTCTCACTCTCTCTCTTCCCCTATCTTGCCAATTTGGTAAGCTGCACAGACCCAGCTCGTTCTTGTGAAGGCGCCGCCACCCTGGGGCTTTTAAGTTTGACGCTCGTTTATAGACTTTGCACACTTTGCATTTACTTTACGGTGCCGCTGATGCGGCTGATAATAACACCAAGTGGCGTATGCGCAATGCCAGGCAGGTAAAACAAGCCAAAGCCGACAAGTAAGCAGAGGAAAAAGAAAAAAAAACTTACCCAAAGTTTTTACAACTCGATACACACACGCCAGCCCAAATGCGCCAAGTCGCCGCATAAGACCGTATCCCAATTTTAGCTCTGTACTGTACAGAGACGTCATTTAGGCATTGCCGGTGATTTGGCATCTGGGCTTTACGGAATTCCGACCGCAACAGCTCTCGGCTGCTTGGTAGCTAGGTGCTCTCCATTGTTTTCCTTTTGCCGAAGCTGGTTTTATAACTTTTTGATTGTCTTTGCGCCAAATTTGTGCAAAATTGTTCAAGTCGTTTGCCAAATGCTTTCTACCTGCTGCTTGGCCAAATTGTATGTCACACATTAGGGCTAGGAACGGCAGTCGGTTGACGTGTGCTATATTTACTTTAATCTGATTTTAGCCGCTCAAGTTAACTTCGACGGTAAGCTGGCAAAACTTCGCCCTTGGCGCTCATATTTCGGCAACAATTTATAGACAATTCCACAATACTTATGTATTGGGTGTGTCAAGTTTTAAAGTCGCGACTTAGTCAATTCAAGTGGCTGTCGACCAAGAGGCAAAAAAAAGTTTCATTAGATATGCCAAAAACGTCTTTGCACAAGTCAAAATCACGGCAAGGGTCGCTGCAAGGCGACGGCTTGTTGTGAATTGTCAAAGTCGACAAAATGTCGCCCGCCAGGCAGCCAGACAGACAGACAAACAGAAAGACAGACAGGCAGGCAAGCAAGCAGGCTATTGTGTGGCAGAGCCAGTCGCACAGTCACATAGTCTGCCAGCCAGTTAGTCAGTCAGCTGCAGGCAAAATCTTCTCTCAGTCTGTCCACCACTCTGTGTGTGTGTGTGTGTGGTTGTTTGTGTGTGTGCACAACTTGTACGCCTCTGGCTAACCCTGTCATTGAGGTTGCACAGAGCACACACTTGTCTTGTTGCTGCTGCTGCTGTTGGCTCTTATAACTATTACATTTATATGGGTATGCTCACATTAAGCATACGCAATGAAGGCCAGCGTTGGGCTGATGTCACTATTGTGGCTGCCAGAGGTTGGCATAATATTTGTTTGTATGTACACTTTATGGATGCAGCTCACCCTCTTTCTCTATCTTTCTCTCTCTCTCTCTCTCTCTCTCTCTCTTTCTGTCTCTCTCTCTCTCTCTCCGTTTCTTTGCTTATGCAGCCAAACATATTTTTATTTTCCTTAAATTTATATATTACATTTGAAATTAACAACTAAGCAAACAGTAATCAGCATTAAAACAATGATGATGATAATGTTATTATTAGGCACGTCACGTATGACCTTTTCTCAGTGGCTCAAGTAAGTAAATAGTGGAGAGTTCTCAAAAGTGAAGGCCAACACAACACAATTAGACTCTGGTCTGCGAACTACGATGCTGGTTAGGGATAATACAACTACTTAACTTTAGCCGCCAGCCGATATGAATAATTTAATCGGAGCAATTTTAGCTACAGCAAAAAATCAATAATAATCGCATCAGTTACTTATGCTACCTTTGAATTACATTTACTTCAGATGGAGACGTGTTTTTTTTTAAATTTTCGAAGGCATCCAGCGATCAGAGCTGCTAATGGTCTCTATGTGTGTGAAGTGTAAGTGTGTATGTGTGTATGTGTGTGTGTGTGTGAGTGTTTGTGTGTGTGTGTCTGGGAAACTTTCACTTGCTCTAGAAAGCTGCCAGAGACAGACACAGACAGCTCCCTATAAGGTTCATTTCGCTTAACGACTCGAAATTGATTTTACTGTGGCATCGTCACATTTTATATGCTGCTTCCCCGTATCTCAGCTATTGGCGGTGTAATATTGCTCAAACGTGCTTTACGACACAGTCACCAATCCTTGTTGCTTCATCATTGCTGTTGCTGTTGCTGCTGTTGCTGCCACTGCCACTGCTCCTTGGTGAATTAATTTTTCAGCGATTACGTTGCCTCAGCAACGTGTAATAGATACCAAAGGCGAAAGGTTGATTTTGGATGAGCGGAGTGTGAGTGGATGCTGCTCATTGAGTTTTTGATTAACTTTCGCCCTCAAATGAAACAGTAATTAAATTTAATTTTGTGGCATGCTTTGCAACAGTCGTAATTAATGTAAACCGCCGAGTCACTTATTGGTTCAGTAATTATACTAATAGAATTTATATATACATAAATATTGTCAAATTACCAATTGGTATTTTCAATTAAGTTGTCATGCAGTTTGCAATCAGATACTTCCCGTCAACATAATAAATACTGAAAAGTAAGGTAAGAGTGGTAGGTACAAATATTTGGCATGACACAACAATTTATTAAAATTAAAATCTTGTACAAGCCATAAAATGCCCAGATGCATACGAACACGTTCTATACACAGTTTGTATGTATGGATGTTTATAGCCGACACAGTCCAGGCATGGCCGTAGTAGAATGTTATGAAGTAAATAATCGAAGCGTGCGCTCTGAATTATTCATGAGACTAAAAAAAATACACAGAGCAGAAGCAGCAGGAGCAGCGTCAAAAGCAGCACCAGCAGCAGCAGCATCGACAGGAAGCAGCTGTGTACCAAGGTATTGAAGCAGCAACTGACCGAACGCGGACATTCCATTGGGCAAGGTCGGTCGCGTTCCAAGAAAGTCAAGACGACTCCGTGACGCTCCAAAGGGGATGCTTGCGACCATTGCATGCCTCCACACCATTTACAATTAGCCAGCTGGTTTTCTGCCTTCTTTTTTTTTGCATATGCATATTTAATTTTAAATGGGAAATTCTATAAATAGATGGCTTTATAATTTGAGGATAAGAAAAACTGAAAGCCTCCTGTAAAATTGGCCTTTCAAATTTCAAATATTCAAATTGTTGTTGGTTAGTTTAAGTGTATAACTTATTTATTTACTTTCTCAAATAACTACAATTGGTTAATTTTAAGCTTACCAAACACTAAATTGCAGTTTTCCCATAACAATGTGTCATTTATATATTTCTTAATATTCGATTTTGCAGTACTTAAAACGATTTCTGTGACTCTCAAACTTTTGAAATTATTTGCAGTCTTTCTTAATAAAAAAAAAACGACAAAGCAAAAAGGAAATGTTCTGATTTCAAATAGTTTATAATTCATTGTCTGTCGAAGTTTGCCACTTTGAAACTTTGCTGGAAATTAAAAACTAGTCTGCGCTTTTTGTTTGTTGACATAAATGGCATTCAGTCGTGAAATTAAGTGTTTCTTTTTTTCTTTTTGTATCTATTTTGCAAATAGCTGTCGACAATAATATAGTGCAATAATCTATTTTTCCTATAGAGTAGTGTTTATAAATGGTTTGTGATAAATCGGCTTACAAAGAACTGTGGTTACACATAATAGGCTTATATGTGTATCAATATAAATATCAATACATATGTATATATACATCAATATAATTCCCAGTTGTCGCCAGTCATTTTGGGTTCTGTTGCAATTAAATTGCGCAAGTGGGAATCATAAAATAATCTTGAATGGATTCGTTGAATTCGTGTTTTATTAAAAAAAACACCTTGATGTGTCGATAAACTGTTTAATTCAAACTGCATTCATGGGAATACAAAAAGAGATGATTTTATGATCAATTATTGATGAGCTCTTAATCGAAACCCAAATTGTCATTTCCCATTCGTTTGACAATGTCCTGGAACTTACTTATTGGTTGAGTTCCCAGTAATCCTAGGCATAAAGCGATTATCCAAAAATTAAACATATTTCCGATGTTTGTTGGTTGGTTTTCTGGTTTCGGATTCGTGGGTTATCAATTTTGAGCTGTACCCAATTATGCAATACACTGTTCTGCACAACTATTCAATATTTACAATTTAATCCTTCTTTTTTATTTGCACACAATTGAAGTCAGCTTTTGTTGAATTTACCAAATCGGTGGTACGAATTAGTACGAATTAGTTTTGGCACCAAATAAAAACAATGTACAAATCGCCTTTGTACGACACACTAAATGAATTTCACACGATTGCATTGATCCAAAAATGGAGCAGTTACATTTTCGCTGTGTTGCATTAAAAACGGGCACAGCCCCGTTGATCAAAAGCAGCCAAAGGATCTGTGCAGCGCTTTAATTTCCAAGAGCTTCGTTTAAACTCGTTAAAGACACTTTAACACATACACATACATATACACACACACACAAATGCTGTGTCTTGCTTTACACTTTCGCTTTCACAGCACACACTACACTACACAGCACGTTTGCAGTGCAGCCGCTCTGCTGCTCTGATTGGCTTTACAAGTGAAGGAAGGGCTCTGACTTATCCTGGTCTGTTCGCACGCGCGCACTTGTTGTGCCCGTCACAAGCGTTTATCCTAGACTGAAACGGCCAGAGCCGAGACTCGACGAGGCTGGAATATCAACGGCAACAGGATATACACCTACACGGCGCACGAGCGCAATGTGGGAGTAGCATTTCCAATTAAGTGCAGGCCACACGAAGAGCCCCAACGAGAGCTAAAGCTTTCCAGCTGCCGCGAGAGCAGAGCTTTTACGCTCTTTTATCCGGCCAGTTGTTGCGTTACCGCAACAGGCTATTCAATGTCCTTATCCCAACTGGAACCGGCTTGCGGCGAAAACGGAAGCAACAGGCTGTTGAAATTACTGTGGCCATTTGCTTGTCAACCGTTGCTCCTCCTCTGGCACCGTGTATGCAACCAAAGTGGCCGTTTTAAATGCATTAAATGTGGCAGAAACTAACAACGATGCCACATCGTTTTTGATTGCTTTTTGAGCTGCCAAAGCTCTGCCAAGCATAGTATTATTTACCCACACAAATTACTTATTTAAAAAGAAACAATGGTAAGAAAAAAGTAACCAAAGTACGTACAATCAAATGTGCACATTTCTACTTAAATATTATTGCACTAGGCTATCAAAATTTAAAAAACAGGCACTTGCTGCAATCATAAATTGTAGCACATAAATTATACTTAATTAAATGATAATCAACTTTCAAATATATTATATATTAGCTGCAACATTGTGTGAATATACGTAAAATATTGCGATTAATTTCTGATCTGTGGCTTACCATGGATTTGTGGTTTGTCAAAGTGTTCATACTGCAATGCACGTGGGCTAAAATTGTTGTATACATTTCCATTCAATTAGATTATTAAGGAAGTACACAGGAGACACATTATTATCACCAATAAAGCTTCTCATAACTTATAAAATATGAATATTTTTTAGGAAAATTTTGATCTTAAATCATGTAGAGTATAAATGTGATATGATATTTCGATATGAATCCTACACAAATACAATTCAATTGTTATGTTAGTGTATCGTACTGTGTATTAATACTGCGCTCTTAAATTATTTATGTATCATTATCAAAAAAAATCTATAATTTTACAATGAAGTATGTCAATATATGAATTTATGGCTAGCTAATAGTATTTGTTTAACTTTTATTGCTTACACATAGCTAATAAATATACATGGTATTGCTGTTGCTTTCTGATAGCAAATAAACATATAGCTGCATGCGAGACAAGTAATAATAGTAGGAATAGAATATAATAGTAGGTATTCAGTATGTACATATGTAAAAATGTAATATACATATTGGTGATATCAATAGCTATGTCTGAACCACTATAAGCTAACTACTAACACTTCAAGTTGTCAATGATGAGTTTTCATTATTCAAAAATCAAAAATAGTTCCATTAAACATAATTTGACAATTTTATTTATGGATCAGCTACCATTAACAACTTTTTAACCTACAAATTGTATCATCCTATTTTTCGATTTCCTCGTTCTCCACATGGCTAAAAAAAAGATAACTAAACAAATAAGGTATATACTTAAGCCGACTTTAATTACACTACTAACCAGCTATAAGTATACAATTTTCTGTCCCTTTCCACTTTTTACTTTGGTTCTCACTTTCACCGCTAATACACTTGACGACAGGCGACTATCGGTTTGGTTTAATTTGAGGAAAGCTTTAAGTGTCTTTGGTCCCTCAAGTCTCTCAGGAGCCGTCCCTAGACTTTAGCTTTTGACACTACGGCGTATCAATTAGTCATTAGGCACAACGCAAATAAGCTGCCTTGAAAAGTTTTGTAAGACAAGCCGGATATAATTTGGCCGCACTGCTTGCGTTATCCTTGCGTTACCAACAGCGTCCTGACACGTTGCGTGGTCCTTGCCCGCATTGCGCGTTGAATTTTATTACATTCTACTTTTAAATTAAGAACAGGACCAGAGGACGTGGCCATAAAGTTTTATGCTCAACACACAGAGAGAGAGAGACAGAGAGGGCGACAGAGAGCTCGAAAGAAAGCAAGATAATTTGTACAGGACGGGGTGCTGGGCTGTATGTATCCTGTGGATTTAACTTTCGCCATGTCCACTTTTAATTACAAACAATCAAATCAGCTTGTTTTTGCTGCTCCACGCGCCGCCGACTGAAGTCAGCTCACGCTGTGGCACCGTCCAAAAGTAGGGGTGTTGGGGTAAAGATGGGTGGGGTGATCAGGGGAATGTGTCCAGCTATGTCATTGTGACAGGTTGGAGCCGCGGACTGTTTGTGCATTTTTCAGTCGACAGTGGCTACAAAAGTAGACAGATATCCGCACCACACACACACACACACACATTTTCCGCAGGGACCCTGCCGCATTTTCGTTTTTGTGCTCTTGTTCGTCTGTGTGTGTTTGTTTATGTTTTAGATGGGCGACTGTCATCATTAGTGACCACAACAAAAGTTGACCGAGCGCGTAATGAGAACCTGGTATCTCTACTCGCACCATATCTGCGGTCAGTGTGTGTTTGCTGGCTGACACACATATTTTTTGTACAAGTCAGCTCATGCTATTAAGTCATAAAAGGCGTGGCTCGTGGGTTACCTGTCCGCGTTAATTTTTCCAAGTTGCCACCCACAACAATTTCCCGTTAAATACCTCCTTACACATCTTCCCATCCAACTCCGCAATTGTCATGAAGCCATGCAGTCAATCGATAGACTCAGTGCCAAATTGATGTATGATAAATGTCAGTCACATAAATCTCAGCCAGGCACAGTCAGAATCGTAAAAATATCAATTTCTTCCGGTTGTATTCTGTGTGGATGCATCAAAATTGAAAATAGAAATACTTACTGCTATGCATAGATAAATATTTGTTATGTTGCCTATTTGTATTTGTATATTTAAATGCAAAAACTGTTTTTGATAAGCGTGTAATTTTTCATTGTATTTGCCACAAATATTGTGCAATTGGCAATTTGTTTGTAGCATATATGAATTTTCAAATTAAAATTGAATTTATAAAAAACAAAAATATTTAAAAAATGGAAAATGAAAATATTATTTGATTTTATTTCTTTAAAGAAAATTGATTGCCAATCTAAGCAATTTGACCATCACAAACAAGTTCAAATCATTTTCAAAGTATAACTGAAATAGATTTTGGCTTTATTTTAGCAGTAGATTATATATGTTATAACTTTAGACTAAACTGTCTGTAGTTAATTGGTATGATGTGCAGAGATTTTACTTTACAATTCCATACAGGGGCTTACACGGCCTAATCTTATTGTCAGAAATTTTAATGGGCACAAGTCTCAAGAATATCTCACTCGCAGCCAGGTCATTGACTGAGTGCTTCTTCCAGGAATGCCCAATCCGCTCCGGTTGCCCACTCGACGCCGAAACGGAGCCATGGGCAATATGTGCTGTGCTCGAGTTTTGCACGCGTGTCCTTGGTAATATGTAAGTTAAGCCTACAAGAAACAAAAGCTCGACCGAGGCAACAAAAAAACCAACAACAAGAGCAACAAGAATAAGAATGGCAACAACAGCCGCAAACAGGGCTCATTTACACGGGAAATAGCCCAAATGCAAAAACCATTTAAATGCAAATTAAGCAGCAAGTGAAAACATGTGAACAAAGCTGCCTATGTACTAACACACACACACACACACACACACACACACATACACGGCGAATGCATGGTGCTGCCTCGTATTGGGAGGCATGCCAATGCTTTTGGTATCAAGTTTGCTGCTGCCTGTGGCTTTGGCTTTGGCATTTGGTTTTGGCGCTGCCTGCTCTAAATGCAAAATAGTTTAGCGTTGTCAGGGCCACAACAAACTGCCTGTTGATGTTCTTGGGGGGGACGGGTGTGTACGGCTGCTGCCCATGTCCTTATTTGAATAAATTCATATGCATAAATGGCCACAGTTTACAGTGATTATCCCATAGGGGCATAGCAGTCAATTGCAGCCGACACACACGAACAGGCGCACACACACTCTGCTGCCTGGGCAGTTGCTAATTGAGTCAAAGCTTAGGATTTACACATTGCCTACCTGTGGCAAGTGGCCAGTTGAAACGCCTCACATCCTAACCCATTGCTGCCCTACTCAATGAAGCAATGCAGCAACTGCTGTATGCATATTTCCATGCATTGGATGTCGGCTTAATGAAGCAACGTGACAGAGCTGCAGGTGTTGGCTTGTCGGACTTTGCCGCTTCAGCCGTCTCGACAGCCAATGTGCCACTCAGTCCGGCTTCAGTTGTTCAGCCGAGCCGCAAACGTGTATGCAACCAGGCGCCAATAACCGACAATTGCACTCAACAGTTGAGTGAGCTCAGATAGCGCCAATGAACCAACGGCCACTGACCAGGCAAAAACCTTTAGGCAACGACATCAACAGCAGCAGGGGGTGCAGTAGCGTACAGCAGGGGGAGCAGAATATACTGCTGACGCACTGAGCAGGTTGTATTCCACAGTTCTAGTTCGCTATGCGATAGCCTTTGATTACTTTACACCATCCAACCCGTATGTATGTGTATGTTGTGGAATGGTACTGCACCTGGGTGTGTGTTTGTGTTTTATAGAGAATGTTTACTTTAATTCTGCGCACAAAACAAACTATGGAAATCCACCCATATACGACCACTTCAATTCTCAATTATTTCTGCACATCAAACAGAGTGCAAAACAATTATGTTCACTTTAAAGTCTGTTTCTTTTTTATTACTATTCAGTTACATGTTCAGTTTTTTCTCCATCACAATTATAACGATACTTGCTGCAGTCCTTTGGGATTTACTCTCCAAGAAAGTGTACTTAGTTTCTGGCAGATTATTAAAATTAAGTTTAATCTGTTTTACACTTTTACAATCGTTATTAAATCGTGCTGCTTAACATATTATGTGTCATAGAAAACATTTTATTTTTAATATTTTAAAATACTACCCGTTTCTCGATTACA